TTTTTTGAAAATATTCCAATCTTTTAATAACCTTTATTCATACAAAAAGGCTCATTTAGTTTGAAATTCAATTAAGAAAAATTTTAAAATACAAAGATAACATTATGAAAACATCAAAATACTCCATATAAACATCTGTATTTTATACGAAGGTTAAATTAAATTACTTAAATTAAATAAATATTAATCATTGAGTGATTTACATTGATAATTATAAAATGAATATCCTTCCTCAGGCTTAATTTCCAATAGTTAATTAACTTATATTAAGTTTAAATATATAATAAAAAGGAAGATTTGAATTCCATCATAAAATAGATTTACATCTAAATATTTTATTATTACATTTTCTAATTTGGTTATAGATTTAAAAACAAATTTATAATTTAAATATTTATTAATTTAATATTAAACTAATCCATGTCATATTCAAATTTCTATTGAATTAATTTTTTTAAAGCATATTTTGGCTTTCTGCCTCTATTTGTTTACTCAGCTTCTTTTTCTTAAAATCTAAATGACATCCTTTGTTTGTTTTATCAATTTTCTTTTCTATAATTTTTTCTATACATCAATTAATATTTACCAAGAATATTAGAAAATTAATAAAATTTTAATTTAATAACAATTAAAAATTCACCTATTTAATATATAAATTTAACATAAAATTTTATAATTTCTATAATTTAAAAAATATTTAGATTTAAATCTGGATCTTTTTACATAATTCCTAAATGGCTATTTTCAAAAACTAGACCATTGAACTTTCTTAAGAAGTAATATTAAAGTTATTCAAAATATATTTAATTGAAAATGAGCTATTATTTGAATTCTTTAAAAAAATTTTAAATTCACCTAAAAAGAAGTGTTCAATATATATTATAAAAATTACAAAATATCTTTCCTAATCTGTTATAAATATTAATTACTATTACAAAAATATTAAAATAAGATAAAATTCGAAAAAGATGATAAACTCATCATTAAATTAATGAATTAAGATACAATTAATACTTATAGTTTCGACACATTTAACAATTATTTTTTATTAATAAGATTATAACCAATTATGTAAAAAAAACAATTTTTTAGGAAGATTAATGAACAATATTTTTTGCACTTCTGGTAGTTTGGAGAATTCTAATTGTTTGTGGAATGTTAGGACAAAATAATAAAAGCCGAAATTTGATAGTCAAATGATTCTGTTTGGTTGCTATGCTACTATTCTGATGGTTCTAAATAAGAATCTGGCAGTAGATAACTCAACCCGTTTTTGGGTTATTAAGACAGGATAATAAAAAACTAAATTAGATGGTCATGAGTATACTAACCATTCAATATGCTTCTTTCCAGCTGAAACCATTTTAATTAAAGGCCAAATTAGTGTTTAAACAAAAATTTCATAATTTTTAGGTTCTTTAAAGTATAAACTTTGAAAAAGTACTTCATTATAAATTAATATTTAGTGACCAATTTTATTCCTATTTTCCCTTTTATCCAAATAGCCCATTTTAAAGGCGTAAGGGGTGATAATTTTAAAAGGAGAATTTTTAAATCATTCACAAAAATGGTACCATAGTAACATTTTTTAATCATTAACCTCCTATAATTGATATATATTTTAGAGTATGATACAATCATGCTTTATTGGCTGCCCTAATTACATTTTATCTATTAACAACGCCTTGATGCTTTTAAAATACTAGATTATCAACCTCTCTTGGTAAAAACTCAATGATAATTTTAAAAGAACTCCAAACAATTTGTTTTTTTTGTTTAATGTTAAATTTGCTTAAATAAATAATGAATTTATTTATAAATTTTT